AACGGATTACGCATGTCAACGGTCTGTGCATATCAACCGATTGCAACTAAATGAACGTTGTCAACGTTTTTAAAAACTGGAGCCGAAGCAGAAAAAATTGAGAAAAAAGCTTCCTGTGAATGACTAACGGGATATCCGAAAACTATCTAAGTATTAGCGCGCTTTCCCAATGAGTGTAGGATCGCAAGAACCAATTAGAACAGAGGAAAATATCTCACGTAGAGAATATGTAAACGGCCTTAAACAAGAAGAAAGTGTTATTATTGTTAGTGGTTTCTGTTTGCCGTAATGTGACTTACTGAAAGGGCGCGAGTAACAGAGCATAGTAAAATAGAAAACTGACAAGTCAACCCTGGATTACTGGCAAAATTCAAACAAAAATTGCTAACAACAAAAAGAATTCGTTTATTACCTGTTGAACGACGCCCCAGACATCCTTGTTATCGGAGCTAAACAGCGTGCTAGCTGATTGAAGAAGGATCTGTGGATTACATCAAACAATTATTAAGTTTCTCGAGGGAGACGTGAAAGTTTCCGGATCAATAATAGGGACCTTAAGCAACCACGACGGCGACGGCAACGAGAACGTGGAAAAACAAGAGATCTAATTGGCAGAACAATAGCTCAGCACGTGCATTTTGAAACTTAGTACATTTCTTAGCCGTCCTATGCAAAACAACAACGTGAAATCGTCAACATTTGCGTCGTCTGCGAACCGATACCGCGACGGCAAATTATTTTAATTTCCATTTGGAACTCAACGCTGCTTTTATACGTCATGCTGAAGTTGAGCTGTGGCGTCGTATGAGACAGTAAGCTCATGCAGCCATTTTTTAAACTCTAACTAAGAGTAGAAATTCATTTTTTAATCGAAGTCTTCCTTGGCGTTGCCGTGCTGACTTCTTAAAGTCCCTATTACCACTTTGGATCACTAAACTACTCCGCACTATGTTGCTCTCTCCGCCACGACTAACAACTCACACGAGCCTTTCTTTATCCAGAGTAAAAAAGGGTCCCAGAAAAATGACAAACAGACAGGTGAACTTCATTTACATATTCGCAGCTGTATCTAGCGCATATCAAGATCAAAAGTGGATTTCTCTGCCTTGAGAAAATTGTTCTTTGCGTCATAGTATCACTATGAAATGGCACTTCTGTTACCATTCCACTTCTTGACTGTGGGCTCCCTGCATATTTTCCATACTGTTCTCTATACATTCCCTAGGGTGCTGACAAGGAGAATTTGTTTAATAATCAAGAGCTTCCTCAGTTGGTGATCATTTCTTTTATTCCCATAACCTTAAGGCCTAGGCATAAACGGAGTATTGCTTGAGGAGAGAGCGTTTTGATTCCCGCCAAATGAACTGAAGTCAGCGGCGTCTTACCTAGGGGCCAGGCTACCGAGTCGAATGTCATTCTCATTTTAAGACGAATATCCAAAGGATACGAATGCTCAAACTGCAGTAAGTCCAAAAACTCTATATTTACTTAAAACGACCGTTTCTGGAATGTACTTCTCTAACTGTCGCACCTTCGCAAACTCCTTAGTCTTGGCTGAAACAAGCGTGCTGGAGTTTTGCTGGCTCTCGTACCCAAACAGAGTCGTGATGATCCTCTGCGCAATTTCTATGTCTTTGGCGTACAATCGAGGGGATAAAGTGATGGCAAGATCTAACTGCTGTCCTATAGCAAGGGCGAAATCTGGATTCCAGTCAACGTTACCAGACGTCAAGTTTGCTAACTACAAAAAAAACACGAGTTGAATTGTGATCTGTCTGTGAATACATGTTCGTCAATTGAATGGGGGAGGGGAGGGAGCGGAGACATCTCCATATTCGTTCTGATACGATGTGTCAAAGGATACATGTTGCCTTATGGCGTTTGATGGAGGGGGGTGTTCACATATATGTTTTATGGGAAGGGGAAAGGAGTCAAAAAAAATAATGGGGCGGCAGGGAGGGGTGAACGGGGCGCTAATATACACTTTTGATGAGACTCGAGAAAAACAGTGGGGTGGGGGGGGTAGGGGTGGGGTGAACTGAGCTAGTTGGCGCATGGCTAAAGTTGCCTGTTGGGGATAGTGATTGATAGCTTTCCATCAGAGCGGTGTGAACTTCATATAGAATGAATAGCCTTGATTTTCAAGTCACAATTAACCACATAATTCTAGATATCGACTCACTCATAAAAAAATAGATATTTGAAATGAATCGCACCTACAAGGTAAATTAATTGATTTAGTGCACGCCACACAGAAACCAACAAATTAATTTAATTTTGCCAATATAAAGAAAAATAGTTGGAATTAAACTCTCGACGCGCAATTTTGTCTCTTCGGCTGCTCGGAGGTGGATAGTATACGCTAATAATTTCCGAAGTAGCCAATCAGCGCGCGCGAAAAGCACTATTCACCTTCTGGTATATACTGTTATTTCTTAAGCCCTCACCTTTTGCTGCAAAAGAAAGAATGAGTTGGACACACAATCAAGTAAACTTGGTTTCTGCCAGCCATCATCCTTGTGACAAAATCGAGTTGCTGTTCCTAATAACAAGAAATCGACAAAGCACGGCTCAGAAGAGCAAGAGAAAAGTATTGGTCAAAAATGCTCTCTCCAGTGATCACACACTATGGTTTTATCCGCGAACTTGGAGTTAAAAATTCACAGGTTGAGCAGCACATTAAACAATACTACAGGCTAGTATTGCTAGGTAATAG